AATTTAAATATATTAAACTCAATAAATTACGAAATATTACATAACTAAAAGTTTTAAATAAATATTATAAACGAATTAATATCATAAATTTTCGTAAACTATATTAATCTACCTGTAAACTTTCAAAATTCTTGCATTATTGTAAATTTTACAAAATATTATACTGTAATGTTACAAAATACTACGCTATACATAAACTTTTGAAATTCTTGTATTTTATAAGTTCTACATAATAAATATTACACCATAATATTACGAAGTACTACGCTGTAAACTTTCACATAATTTACATTCCATAATATTACGTAGTACTATATCATAACGTTACAGAATATTACGAATATACAATTTACGTAATCTTACAGTGGTCTCGTAAGTTTTCGTAATATTACAGAATATAAGTTTATACAATATTATATCCTATTAAATTTACTGATGTATATGAAATTACTAATATGAAATTACATTTAAAAAGAATGTTTAAAGACTTTTAGTAATTCTCTTATTAAAAATAAAATATAAATTTATATTAATTAACAACTTACTAGTGAAATCTGAATAATAATATAAGAATAAATAATACTAAAAATTAAATATCTTTATATATATAATAAGTATTAATCATATTTTAATTTGTTAATAATCAAATTATTTTAATTTTTACATTTATCACTTTATTTTCCTTTTAAATTACAGCATATATGTTTATATTTTAATAATAATATTTAATTAATTTTTAGAAAAAAATAAATTAAAATCAAGATAAAAATTAGAATTTTTAATAAAATTTAATTTATTAGAAATAATTAATGAAATATTATGTAGATAATAAGTATTAAAATAAAAATAAAAATTTATAAATAAATTTAAATTTTTTTGCTTTTATTTTATTATTATTTTTATTAGCATTTATAATTAATTTATCTAAATTTTCATTTAAATAAATTTATTTAATGATAAGTTGAATATCATTAAAATAAAAAAAAAAGTTGTATATTTTGTAAAATAATTTTTCTTTTTAATATAAATAATTTGTATTTATAGTTTATAATATATAATTTTATATATTTTAAAAAAATTTATAACTAAATAAATTTACTTGTTTAACAAATAATTTATAGGCAAATTGTATATTTGACAATTTATGCCTTTTGCTAATATTAAAATTTTCAGATAAATTTTTTAACATTGATAATATTTCAAATTTATTTTCTTAGAAATATTTTGAAATTATTAATAAACTGAAATAATTAGCAATTATATAAGTATTTTTTTATTAAAATTAAATAATCATTATAAATTTTATATTATAAATTAAAATTTTACTTTAAAAGTTTTATATAATTTAATAAAAATAATTAAATTAAAAAAATTATAATATAATCTTAAAAAAGCTTCTTTTATATTATTTTTCTTATTATACCATAAAATTACTATAAAATTAAAGTAATAATTATAAATAAATCTAACTAATTTTTGAATTTATATTAATAATAAAAAAAATTTATAAAATATAAATAATAATTTTGAATAAATTAAGGATTTAAAAAAGAATAATACTTGTATATATATATATTTTTTATAATAAATAAATAATTTAATATAATTAATAATATGTTGTAATTTTTGGTCTAGCTTCATCCCATGGTCCATGAATTTCACTAAAAAAAAAAACTAATTAAAAAAAAAAAACGTTAAAATAATTAAATTTCTTAATAATTAATACTTACTTTTTATATTTTTGTATCCAAATTAACCAAAAAGGACAAATAAAAGTAATAAAAGCAATACCTAAAATATAAAGGGTTACAATAGCTTTTGAAATATTTAAAAATAATATAGTAGCTAATAAGAATAATAAACAAGTTAATGCTATATTGAATTTAGCTGAAAGGCTCTGTTTAAATGAATATAAAAAATCAGTAACTTAGAAAACTTAAAAAACAATAAATAAAAAAACTTTTTTGATTGCTTAATTACTTTGGTATATCTTCTAAATATTGGAAACAAAGCAAACCATTCAATAGCAAATGACATTAATCCAAAGACATGAGAATTTGAAGGTAATCTTGAAGCTAGCAAAACCGAAGCAAATATTGCAGCATTCGTTGACAAAGATCCGGGAAACCTAGAATTAAAGCATAAAATTTAATATCTTGGGTAATAATAAATAATGAAGTTAAATAAAAATACTTACTTGATGTTTGTTCTATTCTCTGAACCATAATCATGAAATAACATATTTGCAAGAAATAAAATAACAGTTACTGCCCATATTGTATCACTACTTGTATCTTTTGTTAAAGTTTTTAAAATTGGTGATATACATAATAGTGTTGCAAAGAAAAGTACAGCTCCTTTTGCAGTTTTCCATCCTTATTTTAATAAAATAAAATCTCTTTAGAATATATATATATATATATATAAAAATATATATACACATTCAAAAAACGGAATTATAAAACTAAATTTTGTACTTTTGTATTCATAAGATGGATCTGTTTTCGAAATACTTTTATCCCAAAAAATATATCCAATTATAGTAAATATGGTACCACTTATAATTAAATTTTGTGCCGATAGCATATCAAAATAAAGATATATGAATACTGCAATAAAAATTACTATGCTACTTATATGTTGTGAAATTACACACGATTCTTTTAATACATTCCAATAATCGTATGCTCTAACATTAACTTGAAGAAAAAATTATTTTTACTTAAAGGTTTTAGGATATATTATTAGGAAGTAAAAAAATTTTTCCTACCATTCTTTTGTAGTTCTTCGAGAAATGAACTATCTACGTAATTATCAGGATAATCTTGTTTTATCCATAGTAATTTACGCCATTGAGCTTTATTTGTTGGAGAATTCGACAAAGAATTCTAAAAAAAATTTTTAATTGAAATTAATTTTTGTAAAATAAAAAATTTAAAATATATATTAAAAATTTACCCAATTTTTATTAGCAGCGAATCTACCTTAAAAATCGGTTAAAAATAAATAAATAAATAGAGTATTTTTTTTTTTATTTTTTTTTTTGCTAGATACCTGTCAAATCCACAATTAATGCATTTATCTTCACCTAAAAATCTGTATCCGTCAAAAGGACAAAAATTTATACTACTCATTTCTGACAAAATAATTAATATTTTGAGTCTATATATTTATTTAATATTGTGGCTATGATTGACATCAATTTATTCCATAAAAGAGCTAATTCACAGGATTCTTAATTCAAAGATGCCGAAACTGGTTGATCCTATCTACATTGTTTACAATATCATTTTTTTTTTTTGTCCCAAATATTCAATGAGATTGAATCCTACGGACAATGATTTATGTATGCAAATCTCCCAGTTGGTTAATAAATAGTTAATTCGGTTTCCGAACCAAAAAACCGGGCGTGTGATCGAAGGAAATTCTGGTGGGAGTTAGTATGAATAAATTTTAACGATTGCGCCGGGTACTTATGTTATATTACGGGACGCATTTGTAATAAATTAAATAATAATAATTAAATGAATTAAAATGGTAATTATAATTCCGAGTTTATTAAACCATATGCATTTCAGAAATTTCTTTTAACATAATTTGAAATAAGGCAGTAGAGTGAAAATTTTCCACGCGGTGATCTTCTATTTCCTCTTTGCTTGAATTCGAAAGTAGACATTTAAACGGTTTTAGGTTCTTAAAATCCTCCAGTTACAAATTTTCCGTTCTAAATTAAAAATTATATGGAAAAGGTTAGATAAATCTAAGCAAGCCACCAAATAGATAAATAGAACAAAAGGAAAAGGACGTTCTCGCTAGTGCGAGGCCACGAAGCGCTTCCAGTTC